AAACCATCATTCTCAGCAAACTATCACAAGAACAGAAAACCAAACACCGCATGTTCTCACTTATAGGTGGGAATTGAACATTGAGATCACTTGGACATGGGAAGGGGAACATCACACACCGGGGGGGTGGGGGTAGGCGGGAGGGATAGCATTAGGAGATATACCTAATGTAAATGATGAGTTGATGGGTACAGCACACCAACATGGCACATGTATACATATGTAACAAACTTGCATGTTGTTCACATGTACCCTAGAACATAAAGTATAATTAAAAAAAGAAAAGAATGAAATAAAACATTACAAATTGAAAAAAGAAGCAACTATTGATCAGCATCTCAAATATTACATTTAATCATTTAATTACCTCCTTTTATATAAATGTAATAAAACATTTAAATGATATATTGCAAAAAAGAAAAAGAAAATACCTTGCAAACACATACTGTTGCTCTGGAGGTTGGAATCGCCCTTATGTCTATGCATGTGTTTAATAAATATTGACATGTGCAAAAATATATGTTACAAAATAAACTATGAGAAATAAACTAGCAAAATATTTTCTTCATTTATCTTCTGTTCCAAAAATTAAATGTGTCTTTAGAATTCATCATTTCAAACTTTGATTTTATTACATAAAACCTTGTCTGGAGTGCCTCCACCATTCCAGGTTCTCACCTGGAACGTTTCCATGTAAAGCACTTGGCTAGATGCTTGACACACTCATAGTAGGTACTATCCGTTTCTTAAAGACTTAGCCCATGATGGTGGCTAGGGCTCTAGACACCTGATATTCATGTTCCAAACAACACAATGGAAGCAAGGAAGAAAGGCACACATCCTCCCTTTAAGGAGATACCCAAAGTATTACACAACACTTTTATTTTAATTTAATTTTGTTTCACTTTAAGTTCCGGGATACATGTGCAGGACGTGCAGGTTTGTTACATAGGTAAACGTGTGTCATGGTGATTCGCTGCACCTATCCACCCATCACCTAGGTATTAAGCCCCCCATACCTTAGCATTTATCCTGATGTTCTCCCTCCCTACAACCTCCAACAGGTCCTAGTATGTGTTGTTCCCCCCACATTTGTCCATGTGTTCTCATTGCTCAGTTCCCACTTACGGGTGAGAACACGTAGTGTTTGGTTTTCTGTTCCTGTGTTTGTTAGTTTGCTGAGATAATGGCTTCCATCTCCATCCATGTCTCTGCAAAGGAAATTATCTTGTTCCTTTCTATGACTGCATAGTGTTCAATGGTATATATGCACCATATTTTCTTTATCCAGTCTATCATTGATGGACATTTGGGTTGATTCCATGTCTTTGCTATTGAGTATTACACAACACTTTTGCTAACAAAATTTCCTGCCAAAATATATCACAAAACCTAGATGCCCACAGAAGTTAAAAATGTAGTATTTTAGCTGGGCACACGGCCATCTTGAACAACACTGGGGTACAACTACCGAGGAGGAAAGGACAGGTAAATGCCGGAAAAGACAACCAGCAGGTGCTGCTGTCGTTAGATATTATTATCATCCTCGTGTGTTAGGCTAGTAAGTGGCAGGGCCAAAATTTAAACTCTGGGCTCTAATTTCAAAACCTGTAGTCTTTCCGCTATGGCTATACCTTTTCCCACCACTACTCAATAAATGCTGGATTGTGATTTTTAAGAGGGAATTAAATGAGCTTACAGTTGTATATACCTCTCCAGTTCGTTATACAGGGATCGACCTTACCAATATCCTCCTGAGATTTGCACAAGAGTTAAAAGGAACAACACATCATGTGACCATAATTTCTCTGGGCCGTGACCAGGCAGCGAAAGCTGAAGACCTCATTTTAAAGGCACTAACGAAAACACAACAATGGGTCTTCCTCCAGAACTGCCATCTTGCAGCCTCATTTATGCCAAGGCTTTGCGCAATTGTAGAATCGTAAGAGTTTTACATTTATTTGTAAGGGATCAGATTGGTTACCAAAACTATAAAGTAAAACTGGAAATGGCAATGTATACTGTGTGTAAACAATAACAAAATGTGTTGAGCCACTCAGATGAAACTTAAGCTATTGGTTTTCTTTTCTCCAGGAACTTGAAAACTACACTAAGAATACATCAGTTTTTGTATTTTTTTAAGGCCTCTTTAGTTTTTGTTCTCGGTCTTGTATATCAGTTTCTTTCCTCAAATTCTTACTCTCAATAGATACACAAGCATACACACACATTATATGTACTGATGGATACATAGTTTTTAATATTCTATGTGATGTTCCAAATGGCAGAGCATAATACCTCGTATCTATCCTTTCGGTGATGATTCATTTTTATGGCCTTTACTTAGTATCTATTCTGACTTTCTCTAGCTCAAAATACTTTTCTAGGCTGTACCTCCCAAAGCACTTAGTCACTCATACAGAAATTTTTATACGTTCAGCCTTCTTGTTTGCAGTGGAAGTATTTGAAAGTTTATTGCTGTAACTTTGAGTGAAGAATTAGCAATGTTTTGAATCAATAATATTTCAGCTAATTACATTCTATAGTTTTTATCCAGCCTTGGTTTTCTTTCCCCTTTTTTTGCATGGCAAATATCCTATTGTTATTTTTATTTTTATGCTTTGAGCATGCACGAGGAAACTATAAAACCAAAATGCAACTGCATGACTTAAATTTCTAAAAACTTTCCTAGTATCATTCATGAGTTACCAGATTGTTAATTCTTTTAGCAGTTTCAAAACTGTATCAGTGGGGCACGGTGGCTCACGCCTATAGTTCCAATGCTTTGGGAAGCCGAGGCAAGATCATTGTTTGGGGCCAGGAGTTCAAGACCAGCCTGGGCAACATAGCGAACCCCACCTGTACAACAATAAATAGATAAATAAATAAATAAATACTATTAAATAATTTCTCTTTTTCACATTTATTTCATGACTTAAGAGAATCAGAAGGCAAAGATTGCTTAGTTACATGACTTTAATAGATATAAACTTTGAAATTACTTTCTACAATGTCTTTCATTCATTATTCATCCAAAAACGATTTATAGGGCATCTGCTATTTGTCAAGTATTGTGCTAGGCACAAGGACACAGCATGGACCAGGCAAACACTGTAGCAGCTTTCCAGAGGATACTAAGGTGCAAAGAGACAATAGTACAATAGTATGGCAGGTAGCACTGTGCTAATAAAAAAAAAAAAAAGAACTTAGAGAAACATTCCTCAGAACAGAATTTCCATCTTAATAAGAGTAATTAATGATACATTAAACATATTCAACATAATCAGAGTATTATTAAAAGAAATTCATACTTCCGGGCCAGGCACGATGGCTCATGCCTGTCATCCCAGTACTTTGGGAGGCCGAGGTAGGCAGATCACCTAAAGTCAAGAGTCTGAAACCAGCCTGGCCAACATGGTGAACCCCCATCTCTACTAAAAATACAAAAATTAGCCGACTGTGATGGCACAAGCCTGTAGTCCCAGCTACTCGGGAGGCTGAGGCAGGAGAATCGCTTGAGCCCAGGGGGCGGAGGTTGCAGTGAGCTGAGATCACGCCACTGCACTCCAGCCTGGGCGACAGAGTGAGACTCCATCTCAAAAAAAAAAAAAAAAGAAAAAGAAATTCATCCTTCTTTATTAAATCAAGCCTTTAGATATTTAAGATGGTCACTCTACCAGCCCACAGTAGGAGAGGAAAAATGTGAAGAAAAAAATATTTCTTAAATTTCAGAGTTAGAGAATATGTTGACAACATATTGCTAGGAGAAAAAATAAAAAGCTACAAACAAAATATGCACTATTACTATTTTTAAAATGAGAGACAGAGAGAGGCAAAAGGAGGGAAAAAAAAGAGAAAAGTGTACCTAAACTCATTTAGTGGGATTACAGGCCATATTTGTTTTTTGTTTCATTTTGTGTTGTGTGTTTTTTTTTTTTCCTTGTAATGATTTGGTTTGCTTTGCAAATTTTTTAAAAATAATTTCACACTTGCAGGGAAGTTGCAAGAATAATACAAAAACTCCCTTATACCCTTCATCTCTATTTCCAAATTCTTAAAATTTACCCTATCATTTCTCTCATATATATATGTAATGTTTTTCTGAATCATTTGGAAGTAAATTGCAGACATGTTGCCACTTGACCTCTAAATAGTTCAGTGTGCATTGTTCATTATTTACTCATGTTTAGTTTATTGTCCCAATAATATCTTTTATTGCAAAATAGAATATAAGTTTTGGTCAAAATTTCAATTCATGATTTCTCATTGTATTAAGTTTTCATGTCTCTTAAGTCTCCTAATAAGTATTTTATTTGTTTGTTTGTCTGTTTATTTAGAGGTGAGGTCTCGCTATGTTGCCCCAGCTGAACTTGAATTCCTGGGCTCAAGTGATCCCCTTGCCCTAACCACCCAGGTAGCTGGAACTATGGGTGCGTGCCACCATACCCTAAATCTCCTTTAATCTATAATAGTTCCTCAGTCTGCCTTTGTCTTTCATAACTTTGATGTTTTTGAAAAGTACAAGTACAAGCTAGTTATAGTGGTCACTGACTATCCACAGGGAATTGGTTTCAGGACCCCCTGTGGATACTGGGATTCTTGGATATTCAAGTCCCTTATATCAAATGATGTAGTATTTGCCTATAATCTACACACATCCTGCTGTATAATTTAAATCATGTCTAGATTACTTATAGTACCTAATACGCAGTAAATGCTGTATAAATAGTTATTAATCTGTATTGTTTAGGAAATAATGACAAGGAAAAAAAGTCTGTATAGTTTTAGTACAGATGCAGACATTGTAGGCCTAACTACATGGTACAGGTCAGCAATACCTTAACATTTTCTGAAATTTTTTTCCTGAATATTTTCAATGTGAGTCTGGTTGAATCCATGGATGTGGAACCCATGGATATAGAGAGCTGACTGTATTTTGTAAAGTGTCCCTCAGTTGGGATTTAGCTGATATTTTCTTATGGTTAGATTAAGGCCATGCAGTATTGTAGTAGTATCACAGAAGTAATGTTACATCATTCTTGGTACATCATATCAAGAGGCCTGTGATATCAATCTGTCTCATTAGTGGTGATATTAACTTTGGTCACTTGGTTAAAGTGGTTTCTGCCACTTGTGGGAACTTTCAGACCATATACATACATTAAACTTTCACCTACTGGTTTCTAAAGTTCATTGATAATTTTTGACTGAATTACTACTATATTGTTTACCAAAAGGTAGCTTACTAACTCCACAACTTCTTCTAAATTTATTTAATGATGTTATCCTATACAGGAAGAGCTTTTCTTTCTCTTCCCTTTGTTTATTTATATCAGTATGGCCTCATGGATTTCTATTTTATTCAAGGATTATAATTGGTTACCATCATCATTTATTTTGACATTCAGTTGTCCCAAATTAGATCAGTGGAACTCTTCATTGTGTTCTTAATTTGTAATTATTTCCAGATTTTTGGCAATGAGTATATGATCACTTTTTGTACTTAGGGGAAAGAAAGCTACTCTTTTAAAATGTTAACTGATGAGTCGTGTGCAAATTCTTGCACAACATGGAAGCTCTTTTGGTAATATAGTAAGATCTTCGGTATTAAAATGATTCATAAGGCCACTTCAAACAATGAAATGCTATGATTCTAAAAACATGTTGGTTTACATTTTTCACATTAAATATTTATAATTTTTTATTTTTCAGCTTTAATAGTCCAGACATGACAATAGACCCTGAGTTTCGGCTATGGTTAAGCTCAAAATCATACAGTTCTTTTCCAATTCCTATTCTTAAAAAGGGTTTAAAGGTAAGAACAAAGTATAACAGATTTAATATTGACTGAGGAGCCCTGTTTGAAGATAAGTTATCTTACATTCAGAACTCTGAGTTTAAAAGAGAGAGCTAATTATGATAAATTCTGAAATGCTAAATTTCTGCTTTGTGCTCAGCCCCATACTGGGGATCAGGAAGAACACTAAAGTAGATTCCTACTTGCAAGGAATTCACAATTTGTATGTTATTTTCTCAAACAAGGATGTTAGACCTCCAATTACTATAAAGTGAAATTTACAATTTGTGTTGCCTTCCTGCCCCTCACTTCTCTAGCATTTCTTATTTCTGCCCTCCTTAACCATATTATCATTAATTCTCTAGAAAGGGTCTGACAGAAAGCAGACTAAAACTGTTTACTAAAAAGTCCTTATTAAAGATTATCTGGGACTTCTCACATCCACTACTGAGGTTGAATAAATAGTAAGAAAGTCATTTCTGTTAGACCAGGGTCCAGTTGACCAACAGGTGGAGTCCTAATAGCAGAGAAAACTGACTGATGGCATAGGCAGAAGGGAATACCCAGACTCCCGGGCACGTGCACACTACCAGCTTTCACAGAAGTGGGCAGGCATGGAGAAAGTCCGGTGGATGAGGCACTTTCCAGATAGAGCCCCAATCCAGCCTAAGAAACTTCCTGCCACATTGCTTCCCAGCTCTGCCCATCTCCTGTATGTACCTACCCAAACTGACAGTACTGAACCACTTCCCAACAACCCAGCTCCTGGGGCAGACAGAACAGGGACTGGAGAAACCCACAGCTCTTAGTCTGAGACTCGAAAGATTCCACTTATCTCCCAGTGACCAGCAGACCAAGCTTTCAGACAGCCTTGTATCTTTGGTCAGGAGACGGGGATTGGGGGGTGGAGGTAGGGGAATGAAGGGTGTCAGAGAGGAACAGAGATAGCGCTTCAGGGAATATTTCATCCCAAGTAGTCCATCGCTCCACTTCCACTTTAAGTCTCCATCAGCATTTCAAATGTGGCTATAATTAGTGCATACATAAAACTTTATGGGAGTTTTTCATATGCCATTATTTATACGAGATGATAATTTTCTTGATATATTAAAAGAGCACCTACAAATAAGTCAGAAAAACATTAA